ACTCCCCCGGGAGCCCCTTCACAAGGAAGAAAGAGGGCCTTTCTCAAAGAAGCCTTTACATCTTTTCTCTTATATTCTTATTTCCCAAAAGGGATTTCTGAGAGGGAAAAAGCCTGCCGTCTTCGATGAACTCCAAAAGTTTAAGGAGTCTCTTAATTAGTTTCTTAAACTCGAGTGGATAGCAAGTTTTGCGCTATAGACAGACCTCTCCCTCTGATCTCGTGTGCGCGCGCGCACACACACTCACACGCTCACATGCACACCCACACAACATGCAAACACTCACACTCAGGTATACACATGTATGCACAGCCACAACGGCACACTCACACACATATACCCACACCAGTGCTCACTTATACACACAAACACACACACACTGCCATACACACACACACTCATACCTCTCCATTGGGCACCCCCCAGCCCACCCCTTTTAGCATCTCTAGCCCTGTGCTTTGCCCTACAGTGGTCCACCTGGGGCCTTCTATTCCCTAGGAACTGTGCCCCGTGCCTTGGAATTCTAATACCATTCCCCTGCAAAAAGTTTTTTTGTCGTGTATACTCTCCTAGGAAAGCAGTTTAAGATCTGACCAATTCTAAGAGAAAAATCAAATTGATTACATTACTTTTCAGAAAAAAACTTGAGGAAAGAAAGATGGGAGGAAAAACAGAAGGAGGGAGGGAAGGAGGGAAATATATATATAACCCTCATTAAGAGCCTGCAAGTGCTACATACACTAAGTGTCTAAATCCGTTCGGGCTGCTGTAATAGAGTTACCATGAGCTGGGTGGCTTACAAACAACAGAAATTTGTTTCTCACGGTTCTGGAGGCTGAGAAGGGATGAGGGATCTCTCTGGGGTCCCTTTCATAAGGGCACTAAGCCCATTAGTAAGCGCTCCACCCTCGTGACCTAATCACCTCCCAAAGGCCCCTGCTTCCTAATGCCATCACCTTGGGGGTTAGGGATTCAATCTATGAATTGTGGGGGAACACAAACATTCAGTCCACTGCACTGTGTTCTACATGTGTCCTCTCATTTATTTCTCAAGACAATCTAAGGAGGTGGATTTATTATCCTGTTTTGCAGATAAGGAAACAGAGGCTCGGAAATGTTAGATCACTTGTCCGAAGGCACAGAGTTAACTCCAAACCAGATTTGAACCCTACCTGCCTGGCTCTGAGTGTGGAATTGAGAAATCTGTGTGTGTTACGGGGAGAGGGAAGGAGTGGGGGGTCACTCCGGCATCTCCCCGCCTCACCCGTGTTTGGCTTTGCCTCATTGCAACTCCTTTTGTTCCCTACCCTCGTTTCACTTATTTCTTATGCTCCTAAGCTATCCAGTCATATTTTGAGTATTCTTTGAAGTCTCTGTAAATCTGTTAAAAAAAAAAAAAACTCTTAAAGAAACAAACAACATATAAACCAATTAATTAAAAAAAAAATGTGCAGACAGCATAGATTCCAAATCCCCTAAGACCGCGGTGGCCCAATGGCGATGACACTGATGGAGGACTGGTTTGGGTCTGGGCTGTGAGAGGAGCCTAAGCCTGGCCCCTTTTCTCCAAATCAGACTTGCCCTGCCGTTGGTTTCCTGAATGAGTCTGGTCAGTTGTTACTCTGCAACGTGTGATAACAGGATTTCCCACGAAGGGTTTTAGAAAGGTTTTGAAGTGCTTGGGTGAAAAGAGTCATAATACAGTCTCTCTCTCTCTCTCTTTCTCTCTCTCTCTCTCTCTCTCTCTTTTTGAATGTCAATACCTCACACCTACTTTTCAGTTACCTTTTTTTTTTTTGAAACATCTTTATTGGAGTATAATTGCTTTACAATGGTGTGTTAGTTTCTGCTTTACAACAAAGTGAATCAGTTATACATATACATATGTTCCCGTATCTCTTTCCTCTTGCCTCTCCCTCCCTCTCACCCTCCCTATCCCACCCCTCTAGGTGGTCACAAAGCACCTAGGTGATCTCCCTGTGCTATGCGGCTGCTTCCCACTAGCTATCTATTTTACGTTTGGTAGTGTATATATGTCCATGCCACTCTCTCACTTCGTCACAGCTTACCCTTCCCCCTCCCCATATCTTCAAGTCCATGCTCTAGTAGGTCTGGGTGTGGATGACCCCACAGGCATGAGTCTCAGGTCTCCTGGGGAATCTGATCAACCCCACAGAACAGTAGAGGGTGGGAGAATGCCCTAAAAGGGAGGAAGGAACACCAGGGCCAACATGGGTCCTGGTACAGGGCCAAGGAGTCCCATCTGGATGGCATGGCTAACTCTGGCCTGTCCCCAGTGCCAGGGTGGAAATGAGAAAAGTTCGAGGCAGGCAGTCCAAAAGGCAGAGTCCCCTGAGGGGCAGGGCTGGGCCAAGGGTCCCATCTGTCCAGGTCTCAGGACAGATCTGCATTTGATTCCAAAGCCTCTGTGAAAATTTCCCTCTCTGAGTCAGGCCCAGAAGGAACACTGCCTCCCTCCTCTCATAGAGTGGACATCATGACGTTCCCCTAAACTCTAGGACAGTCTTCTCCTTTTTAAGTTACTCCAGTATCACAAGGACCATAGCTATGGGTCAGGAGGTCCTAATGCTACGACCATGCACTATTTGTCAAATAAGTGACATGGCAGATCGAGGTAAAACCAGGGATGGATCTAGGACAAGCCAGTTTAATTCCATCAGGAGCGATTTGCAAATTCAGTGTTTCTGCTTGAAAAGTTATAGACCTGGACTGCAGTGCAGGCCTGCCACCAACATTTGCAGACCTAGGGTAATGATACGAATGGAAGCCCCTGGCCCACAGCCTGCTCCTTTCCCTCATTCCTCCTTTGGTTCTGCCCAGATCATGAAAGACCTTTTCCACGTGCACACAAGCATCCCGGCTCACCCAGCCAACTTCTATCTCCCCCACCCCTGCCAAACAGCCACTCCTTGGCCACTCTTTGGGTACATAGATGGCAGGCACCATTAGGCCTCAAAAGAACAGACCCGAGAAAGAAACTCATGCAAGCCTTTGTGTTCAGGCAGGGAATTCCAGTGTCCCTGGTATTTAGAGGATGGTCTAGAAGTAGGGGGGCATGGGCTCTGGGTGGGCACATCCCTTAGCCTCCATCTCATCCCACAGGAAAGTTACAGCTGGAGGACGGCCAGAGCTGGTAAGCATGGGACCAGAGCAGAGGCCCATCTGCCTGGGCCTAAGGGTAATACACCCAGCCGTATGATTTCCAAACCCATATGCCAAGCCCTACTTCACTTTTCAGTTTCTACTTCCTCAATCCCCTTCAGCCTACTCCCCAACTGCTCCTTTTCTCTCCTGTATAAGAATTCCTAGTTCCTATTTTTGAGTCATCCCAAATCTGACCTTGAAGCTAGTGTTACACAAAAAAAGGAGATATTATATCTTTTTCGAAGTCTACAGAACCTGAATATTTATATGCCACATCAAGATGTCCTGGCAAATAAATGTGATCTTTGTCACCTATGGCTACTGAAAAATGACTTTCTGGATACACTAGTGGCACTTTTTATCTTTCATAGGCTGGCAGATAATAGGATTGCAAGTTTCAAGCAGTAATCTCCCCATCTTATTGTGGTTTCTTGGGAAAAAAAAAAAAAAGCAACACAGCTCTGTAGAGGACTGAAGAGACAAGCAAACAGTATAACACTCTAGGCAAGAAGTCCCTGTCCCGTAAGAGATCTGAGGTTACTCACACTCTTGTCAGGGGAATTGACATTGCTCAATTTTGTGATGAAGAGGTAGAAGAGAAGCTATGAGATTTGCCCCAGAAGTCAAACCCAGGGCTGACAGACTCCAGAATCCAAGTTCTTTCATATTACGTGATATCCTGATATCACAACATGAGGTCCTAAAATTAGATCTGATCTTTATTGTAAGTCATGAAACACTTTACTTGTAATTTCCTTATAGTGGTTGTGATGTAATAAAAAATAAATATTTGGTTTTGTTCCCAGTTCCTGGGCATAAATTTCCTAAAACTCTTGGAATCTCCAGAGTGATTAGAGTGTCTTTTGTATGCTAATGAGATCCCCCCTCCCCCCTCTCTAGACCACCTCTGGATGGTGGCTGGTCTCTAGAAAAACCAGGCCTCGATTAAAAGCTTGGAACTTTCAGTCCCACCCTCCAACCTCCCGGAAGAGGACAGGGGCTAGAGACAGAGTCCAGTCACCAAGGGCCAATGCTTTAATCAATCATTCACGTGTGACGAAATCCTTAAACAACAGGGTTCAGAGGTCTTCTGGGTTGGTGAATGTATCCATGTGCTGGGAGGGTGGTGATCCCCAACTCAACGGGACAGAAACTCCTGTGCTTGAGACCTCTCCCGACCTCATCACGTGTACCTCTTCAGACCTCATCACGTGTACCTCTTCAGCTGGTATTCATTTGTATCCTTCATAATATCCTTCATAATAAACTGGTAAATATAAGTAAAGTGGGTTCCTGAGTTCTGTGAGCCATTCTAGCAAATTACCAAACCTAAAGGGGAAGTTATGGGAACACCCAGTTTATAGCCAGTAGGTCAGAAGTATGGGAGGCCCAGGATTTGTGACTGACATCTGAAGCAGGGGATAGTCTTGTGAGACTGAACCCTTAAACTGGGAGGCCTGCGCGAACTGCAAGTAGTGTCAGAATTGAATTGAATCATTGAACACCAAGATGATGTCTGAAGAATCAGAGAATTGGTTGTTGGTGTGAAAAACACCCCAGAGCGGTTATCTGGCCCTGCCCTATATTACGGTCATTTGTGCTGTTTCTTTCCTCCTATTGGTTGTATTTTCTTTGAGGGCACAACCTAGGTCGTACTCATCTTTGTAACTCTTATGACACCTAACACAGGACCTGGCCCACAACAAAAGATGAATAAGTAGTGTTGAACAGGTTCAAATTTGTTCTGTTGACAGCTCCTTGGGTCTTCTTTACGATTGTGCCTGTTGAGGAAGGCTGGGCTGGGCCAGGCTGGGCTATGGCTTGTAGTCACAAGGCATTTAAGAATCACAGCATTCACCAAGGATGTCTCCAAACCTTCTCACACAGAACAATGAAGAAAATGGAAAGGGCCGCTGTAAGAGGTAGAGACTGGGCAATGAGCTGTTTCCACTCACTAGATAACTGACTCTCAGCCACAACTACTTTGCAGTTCAGTGACTGAAATTCACGCCTCAGCAAAACTTTGCACTCTGCCTCATAGAATGGACTTCTGGATCACGCTGAAGAGGCTTAGACTGTAAGTGTTACACCCATAGATGGCCAGAGTCTACTGTGTGGAAAAAATTGCTACACATTCCAATCAACTGAGAAAGTGTGGAATAAACTGAGTTGGAAAACACCCCAGGAACTGACTTACAAGTCCTTCTCAGTCTCTCTTTTTTTTTTTAATTTAGATATAATTGACATATAACATTATACTAGTTTCAGGTATACAACATAATGATTTGATATTTGTATATATTGTAAAATGATCATGACAATAATTTAGTTACCCATCACTACACAGTTATAAATTTCTTTCCTTGTGATGAAAAATTCTAAACTTAGCAACTTTCTAATACACAATACAGTATTAACTGTAGTCTCCATGCTGTACATTAAATCAACATGACATTTATTTTACAGCTGGAAGTTTGTACTTTTTAGCCCCCTTCACCCATGTGCCCACCCCCCGACCTCTGGCGACCACCAACCTGTTCTCTGTATCCATAAGCTTAGGGTTTTTGTTTGTTTGTTTGGTTGGTTGGTTGGTTGGTTGGGTTTTTGTGGGGTTGTTTTTTTTTTTTTTAAGATTTCACAAATAAGCAAGATCATAAAATATTTGTCTTTATCTGACTTACTTCACTCAGCATAATGTCCTCAAGGTCCATCTATGTTGTTGCAAATGGCAGGATTTCATTCTTTTTCATGGCTGAATAATATTCCATTGTGTGTGTATGTGTATCATACTTCATATATATCATGTATATATATATAAAATGTATACATATCACATTTTCTTTATCCATTCATACATCCATGGACACTTAGATTGCTTCCATATCTTGGCTATTGTAAATAATGCTGCAATGAACATGGAGTTGCATATATCTTTTTGAATTAGTGTTTTCACTTTCTTCAGATAAATACCCAGAAATGGAATTCCTGGTTATTTCATATGGTAGTTCTACTTTTAATTTGGGGGGAACCTCGTACTGTTTTCCGTACTGGCTGCACCAATTTACATTCCCAATAAGAGTGAACAAGGGTTCCCTTTTCTCCACATTCTTGCCAACACTTGTTATTTTGAGTCTTGTTGATAATAGCCATTCTGACAGGTGTGAGGTAATATCTCATTGTGGTTTTGATTTGCATTTCCCTGATGATTAGTGATGTTGAGCACTTTTCAGGTACCTGTTGGCCATCTGTACGTCCTCTTTGGAAAAATATCTATTCAAATCTTTTGTCCATTTTTTAATCAGATTGTTTATTTTTTCTACTGAGTTGTATGAGTTGTATGTTAATCAGATATATGATTTACAAATGTTTTCTCCCATTCAGTAGGTTGCCTTTTCCTTTTGTTGATGGTTTCCTTTGCTGTGCAGAAGCTTTTGAGTTTTATGTAGTCCCACTTGATTTTTGCGTTTGTTGCCTTTGCATATGGTGTCAAATTCAGTAATCACTGCCAAGACCAGTGTCAAGGAAGTTTACAGCCTATGTTTTCTTCTAGGAGTTTTATGGTTTCAGGTCTTACGTTCAAGTCGTTGATCCATTTTGAGTTAACTTTTGTGTGTGGTGTAAGATAGTGGTCCAGTTTCATTCTTTTACATGTGGCTGTCCTGTTTTCCCAACATCGTTTATTGAAGAGACTATCTTTCCTCACTGTGTATTCTTGACTGCTTTGTTGTAAATTAATTGATGATATGTGCATGGGCTGTCTATTCTGTTTCAGTGATCTATGTGTCTGTTTTTAGGACAATTCCATACTGCTTTGATTACTATAATATAGTTTTTTGTAATATAGTCTGAAATCAGGGACCATAATGTCTCCACCTTTGTTCTTCTTTCTCAAGAGTGCTTTGGCTATTCAAGGTCTTTCATGGTTCCATACAAATTTTAAGATTGTTCTACCTTTGTGAAAAATGCCTTCTCAGCCTTTTTTTTTTTTTTTTTTTTTTCGCGGTACGCGGGCCTCTCACTGTTGTGGCCTCTCCCGTTGCGGAGCACAGGCTCCGGACGCGCAGGCTCAGCAGCCATGGCTCACGGGCCCAGCCGCTCCGCGGCACGTGGGATCCTCCCGGACCGGGGCACGAACCCGCGTCCCCTGCACTGGCAGGCGTACTCTCAACCACTGCGCCACCAGGGAAGCCCTTTTGACTTGCCTATGCTCCTGTGCTTGCCTCAGATCCAGTTCTGTGACCATATCAGCAACTTGATCCCGCTCCAGCTTCAGAGACTTCCCCCAAATATAAGTATTTTGGGATCAATTGCAATTAATTAGGAGAGGAAAGAAGAATGAGCAGCTGGCCTTCAACATTTTCACTCTAGAGTCTCTTAGAGCTGAACTTGACTACAGGTTTGGTCTATCCTCAGGGAATTAAAACTTTCCTCCTCTCCCTTCCGTCCCCCTACCCCACCCCCCACATCAAATCATTAACAATAGCTGTAAAACAGAAAAGACCCAGAACCCCGAGCAGATCTCTGGGGCAGGAGCAGGGAGAAGATTTTAATGGCAACTCTACAAGCTTTGCAGGCCTTGTCCACTGCGGAATGGCCAGCAGACCTCAGCAGTTCCCATGTCTCACGTTGGCTCTGGTGAGACCCACATTCTCCTCCAAATGCCAAACCGCAGTGCAGTGTGCAGCAGAGAGCAGGCATCCAACAGGCATACCAGGATGACTCATTGCAGAGGAGTGGTTTCCAAGCTTTTGCCACCCCACATCTGTTTCCTTTACTGAGGAGAAGAGAGGAAGGGAAGGGAGGGAAGGGGGTGGGAACCACACCACCAATCAGTGCAACATGTAAGACAGATGCCACACGGAATAAGCTCTTAACTGGCCAGGCCATGGGCACAAGTGCCCGCCAAGGCTCAAGTTCTAAGATGCTTCAACTCTTCAATTCAGCCTGGGGAAATTCACACTGGTTGTAGCAAAGGATTCAATAAAGCAAGACCTGACTGGACTCCCAGAATCTTGACCACAAAAGATGATTTTGTGGGGTTTGTGGCTATTTTAGTTTACTCCCTGGACCAGAGGACATTTGACTCCCTGCAGGATAATGTCCAGTACATCACCCCATCTATTCTCAAATGCCTCAGGTAGTGGGATTTTCACAGCTTCCCTTGGGAAGTTATTTTTAAAGTTGAACGGCCAGGGTATTTTTCCTGATATTGAACATTGATCTTTCCTTTTCTTAACTTCATCCCTGTTATCCTGTGGAATAAACTTCTGCCCTCGGCACTGTCTTCTCTTTTAGTGTTTACCGATGCATTTCCCGGGCGTACTTACTGTATCACTTCAGCGTCTCTGCGCTCGAGCCTCAGAGATCAAGAAACGGCTGAGAAATGCAATAACAAATAAAGGCTCTTCCATCTGGCAGGCATAAGCATAAACGAGATGTGAGCCCAGAGTCTCAATAAAGAAGGGATCATCATCAATCCACGCTCCACGCAGAGCCCCAAGACAACAGCAGAATTGCTCTGTGGTGAGTGATCCTCTGCCAGTGGGACCTTGTTCTCACCGTGATTCATTTTCACAACCTAATGAGTTCTACCTCCCCCAAAATGATTTTATGAAACACCAAATTTATCTTTCCATATGTATCTTTAATTGCATTCACCCCGCTTGTTATACTTTTTATCTTACTGTACTATCGTGCAGAAACAGGTGCCTGGTGCATAAACTCTCACTATACAAAGTTTTGAGAGTTAAGAGCTTCTCAGCTCCCTTCCTTTAGGTAGAGGAGTCCAAGTGGGCTCTAAGAGGGGGCTGCCCAAGTGGACATTAGCCTTGTTGTTATTCTGATCAATGTGGGGGACTTGGCTGCTTTCTCCCTGCATTTAGAATTGTATTTCACAATCCAGAAAAACACCAATAATTTAAAATGGCTGTTGAACCACCTCCCTCGGTCAAGTGAGTCTCTCTTTGCCTCCCATTCACACAACGTCTCCGGCACATACACACCCTTTCATCCCACTCACCTTCAGACCTCTTACCGCGATGCCTCATCAAAAATGCCCCTTCTCCGGGGGCTTCCCTGGTGGCCCCAGTCAGAAAGCCTGAGAATCATGGGGCTGATGGGGTTGGTCCAATCTAAGTCAGAAAGACCGGGAGCCAGGAGCATCAATGTCCAAGGACAGGAGAAGATGGATGTCCCAGCTCAAGCAGTGAGAGAGAATTCCTCCACCTTTTTGTTCTACTTAGGCCCTCAACAGATTGAAGGATGCCCACCCACCCACATTGGGGAAGATGATCTTCTTGACTCAGTCTACTGATTCAAATGCTAATCTCCTCCTGAGACACCCTCACAGGCACACCCAAAAACAATGTTTCACCAGCTATCTGGACATCCCTTAAGCCCAGTCAAGTCGACACATAAAATTAACCATCACCAGTGTTCATGGGGAAGTCAAACCTGTTTGGCGGTGTTTATGACTCAATTTATTTTTTGTACAGCATCCTGGTTTACGGAACCATAGAAACTTTTGAATCTGAATCAACCTACAAAGAATAAAAGAAACAGCTGAAGTCTGTCCTCCTAAAAAGATGACTATTGCTTAATTCTGCTTTTCTGTCATTTACTCCCACACCTCAGAAGCTTCTGAGAGCAGTTTTGAAGTGCTTTTTTGAACCTGCAGACCACAAACCAACGTCTGTGGCTAGGCAACACCCACTATCCATTATCTGATGATTTGGGAAGAAGTGAAAACTTTGCCAACATTTGGTGATTTATACTTTCCAAGAGGAGTTGAAAATAGAAAATGTAGACATTTTCAAACCGTAGAACTTGGCAAATTCCACTCACACTGATCATCTCTGAAGATTGAATGTGATCCCTGCCCCTCTCCACGTGGAGAACTGTCACAGCTCCGGGGCAACGATTTTCGCCTGAATTCAACAGCTTTGCGAAGCTCTAGAGAAGAGAAACAAGAAAGGAACCAAAAGGACGTCCTGAACCCTGATCTACATTAAGCTGACTCAACGAAATAAATAGCAAGGCTCAACTGCTACACTTCACGATGTAGGGGGATGCGTCCGTTTTATTGCTATGATAAATTCCGACCGGAAAGTGACAGAATATTGGCATTTCAATCAAGGCAGCTTCATATAGACACACATGTACACATGCACACACATGCAAGCACACACTCTCACATACACGTTTCCTGCCCAGCCCACTCAGCTCTGTGTGTTGAAAGCTTTATGATAGGAAAGCCTGGAGGATGTCCACAGACCACTGACAAGATTCAAAGGGTTGGAATTTTACAAATCTTTATAAAAGAACCAGGAGCCCTTGCCAATGGGAATTTGAAATATGTCCCTCCACTCCTCTGGCTGTACAGAAGAAAAAAATCATAAACAACTTGCAGAGAATATAATTCCCACGGAACACATCACCCTCAAGCTAAACACTCACTGTCCTTTCTTCTTCTTTAAGAACTAGGAATCAGTGACATTACTGTGGTAATACAGATCTGCCTGGCACCTTCAATCACTTGGTAAATTATAAAACAGGGCTTTGTCACTTCAACTACTGAAATAAGGAGGCAAGCCAGCATTACCAAATAAGCACGTGCAGTGCAGGGGTATATGAAATGGGGCAATATTTCAAGCGCTTGGGAAGTGACAAATTTTATGTTGAGCCGCATCCACTGCAGGGCATTATATGATATTTCTTCAGGTGCAGACATTGCATGAGGGTAAACCATTCTGTGCACATTTGTAAAGTATTTCTATTCCGTCAGCTTTCCTGCCTGTAGGAAAATAATAGTGGTTCTATGCACTTATGCCAGATGAGTTTTGTAATGGAAGCCACAGCCTGTTTCTAAGTAAATTATTAAATCACCAGCTCTTTAATGAAATGGAATTGTCTGCACTGATCTTCCAGATAAAAAATGCTCTTTTGTAGAAAAAGACTGTCCCAGAATAGAAGAATTAATTCATCCACATGCTTCAGAAGATTGTGGAAAGTGAAGTAAAAACCAACATTTATTGAGCAAAATGCCAGACACTGAGGCACTTACTATGTGATTTCACTAAATCCTAATATTAACTTACAAGGAAAGAAAAACCACCCCCATACCAGACATGAGATAGTCAAAGAGGCTAAAACATTTGTACAGAAACACAATGCTCATCTTGCCCTGGCTTTTCAAACCAAAATTAAATATAGTCTTAATAAGTAAGTCACCGGTCAACTAATGTGTGCTACTGTCAATATGTATTCGTTCATATGGACTATTTGCTCTCATATAATTGCTGTCAGTGATCACAAGTATGGTCAGAACAAATTTTTTAAAAGAGTTGAGTAGAGTGAGAAGCTAAGGATCTCTAATTCATCCTTCCATTTGTTCCTTTATTCATTCAACAAACATTTATTGAGTGCCTATGAATCATGTACTGTTCTAGACATTGAGGATATAGCAGTAAACAAAACATACAGCATCTGTAGTCTCATAGATCTATATTTTAATCGTATTAAATCATATATTTACCATGGTGAAACCTGCAAAACACTACGTTAAACAACTGATGATGGTTAACATTACCAGTATGTCATGTGGGTGTCATTTACCCCCTGAAACGATGCGATGAAAAGGGTACTTCACCTCTCTGGTATTCTTTCTAAAAAAAACATAACTCCAGTCTAATTACAGGAAAAATAGCAGGCAAGCTCATATTGGGGACATTCTACAGGAGAGCTTGCCAGTACTCAACAGGGCTGTCAAGGTCATGAAAAACAAGTACATTTATAAACACGTGGAAACTAAACAACATACTCCTTAACAACCAAAAGGTAAAAGAATAAATCAAAAGGGAAATTTTAAAATATCTCAAAACTGATGAAGATAGAAATACAACATACCAAAACCTATGGGATGCTGCAAAAGTAATTCTTAGAGGGAAGTTTATAGCAATAAATGCACATCTTAAGAAAAAAGGCAATTCAAAAACAACCTAGCTTTACACCTCAAGGAACTAGAAAAAGAAGAACTAAGCCCAAGGTAACCAGAAAAAGGAAACAATAAAAATCAAAGTAGAAATAAGTGAAATAGAGGCAGAAAAACAACAGAAAAAATCTAAGTGTTGGTTTTTTTTGCAAAGATTAAAAAATTGACAAATCTTTGCCTAAACTAACTAAGAAAAAAAGAGAATACTCAAATAAATAAAATCAGATGAAAGAGGAGAAATTATAACTGATACTATAGAAATACATAGACTCATAAGAGACTATCATGAGCAATTATATGCCAACAGATTGGATAACCTAGAAGAAATGGATAAATTCCCAGAAACACATGACTTATCAAGACTGAATCATGAAGAAGTAGAAAATCTAAACAGACCAGTGATGAGTAAGGAGATTGAATCAGCAATCAAAAACTTCCCAACAGATGTAAATAAATAAATAAATTTTTTTAATTAAATTAAATTTAAAAAAAAAATTAAAAAACCTCCCAACACGGAAAAGCCCAGAACCACATGCGTTCACTGGCAAATTCAACCAAACATTTTAAAAGAACTAATGCCAATCCGTCTCAAACTTTCCCCAAAAGATTGAAAAGGAGGAAAAACTCCAAACTCATTTTACAAAGCCAGCATTAATTACCCTGATACCAAAGCTAGATAAGGACTCTACAAGAAAAGAAAATCATAGACGAATATCCCTGATGAATATAGATACAAAATATCCTCAACAAGATATTAGCAAACCAGATGCAACAGCACACTAAAAGGATCATACGCCAGACTCCCCTTGTGGCACAGTGGTTAAGAATCCCCTTGCCAATGCAGGGGACATGGGTTCGAGCCCTGGTCTGGGAAGATCCCACGTGCCGTGGAGCAACTAAGCCCGTGCACCACAACTACTGAGCCTGCGCTCTAAAGCCCTCAAGCCACAACTACTGAGCCCATGTGCCACAGCTACTGAAGCCCACACACCCAGAGCCCGTGCTCCACAACAAGAGGACCCACCACAATGAGAAGCCCATGCACGCAACAAAGAACAGCCCCTGCTCGCCGCAACTAGAGAAAGCCCACGTGTATCAATGAAGACCCAATGCAGCCAAAAATAAATAGTAAATAAATAATTTTTTTTTAATTTATATTTTAAAAAAAGGATCATACGCCATGACCAAGAGGGATTTATCTCTGGGATGCAAGAATAGATCAACATATGAAATCAACAAATATGATACACCACATTAATAAAATAAAAGATAAAAATTGTATGAGCATCTAAATAGACGCAAAAAAAGCATTTGACAAAATACAACATTCTTTCATAATAAAAATCCCCAACAAAGTGTGTATAGAAGCGACATACCTCAACATAATAGAGACCGTATACAATAAACTCACAACTAACATCATACTCCATGATGAAAGGTTGAAAGGTTTTCCTCTCACATCAGGAACAAAACATGGGTGCCCGCGATGACCACTCTTATTCAACACAGTATTGGACTTAGTCCTAAATATTTAATTATTTGATCCTATCATAAATATTTTTTATTTTATTTTTTCTATTTGTTACTAGATGTGCACTTTTTTGAAGTGTACAATTTGATAAACTTTGACATATATGCCTGTGAAGCCATCACCACAATCGAGATAATGAACATATCCATATAACCCTTTCATTCTGCCTCTCCTCACCCCTCCACCTGCCCATCCCTAGGCAACCATTGATCTGCTTGCTGTCACTAGAGGTTAATTTTCATTTCCTAGAGTTTTATACAAATTGATTTACTGAGTATATATTCTTTTTTGTATGGCTTCTTTCACTCCACATAATTATCTTGAAATTTATCTATGTCGTTGGATGTATCAATAGCCATTCTTTTTTATCGCTGAGTAGTGGTATCCATGGGATAGATAAACTACAATTTGACTATTACAAAAAAGCAACAACAACAAAACAAAAGAACCTGCTATGACCATTCATGTACAAGTCTTTGTATGGACATGGGCTTTAATTCCTCTTGGGCAAATATGTAAGAATGGAATAGCTGGGTTTCATGGTAGTTTTGTAAGAAACTGTCAGACTGTTTTACTAGGTGGCTGTAACCTTTTTTAGCATGTAATATCATGAGGGCGGTATTTGAGAGTTCCAGTTCCTTCATATCCTCAGGAGCAATTGTTATGGTCAGTGTTTTTAATACTGGTCATTCCAATAGGTGTGTAATGGTGTCTTATTGTGGTTTTGATTTGCATTTCCCTAATGACTAATGATGTTGAATTTCTTTTCACCTCTATATCTTCTTTGATGAAATGTCTGTTCTAATCTTCTGTACCACATGTTTTTATAAGGGCCAGCAAAAGTTGAGGCATAGGGTCATATCAGGAGCAAAAGTTTTTACCTCTTTTTTTCTCCCTGCAGCCGCCCTTCCCACTCTCTTACAAAATTCAACCTTTTTTTTTTTTTTTTTGCGGTACGTGGGCCTCCCACTGTTGTGGCCTCTCCCGTTGCGCAGCACAGGATCTGGACGCGCAGGCTCAGCGGCCATGGCTCACGGGCCCAGCCGCTCCACGGCATGTGGGATCCTCCCGGACCGGGGCACGAACCCGTGTCCCCTGCATCGGCAGACGGACTCTCAACCTCTACGCCACCAGGGAAGCCTAATTCAACCTTTTTATAAGAAGTTGCTCAGCATTTTTTAAATAATACTTTACTTTTTAGAGCAGCTTTAGGTTCCCACCAAAATTGAACAGAAGGTAGATATTTCCCATATAACTCCTGCCCCTCCCCTGGCCTCCCTGATCTATAGCAGTACATTTCTTACAACTGATGAGCCTCGTGGACACATCATTATCAGAGTCCATAGTTTACTTTAGGGTTCACTCTTGGTGTTGTACATTCTGCAGTTTGGACAAATTTATCCGTGTTGTGTAATCACCATGACAAAATATCATACAGGGTAGTTTCACTGCCCTAAAAATCCTGTTTCACTTATTCTTACCTCTCCTCCCGCTAAACCACTGATCTTTTTACTGTCTCCTCATTTTGCCTTCCT